CATTTTCGACTCGCGCGCACGCTCCCGCTATGCGCGCAATAATAATAATAATTGTAATAATTATCGTTATTACCGTCGACATGCCACGTGCCACTCGACCGCTGCTGCTGCTGCTGCTGTTGTTGTTATGTGTGCTTGTATACACGCACGTACCAGCTGTGCGCGAGGATGTTTCGAAAATGAAATTATTTCCTTCGTTTTTTTTAGAATTTTTTTGGCTTTTTCAACCCTGCTGAAATTTCGACGCTAATCGCGTGGAGAGAGCTTTCGGTAAAAAGCATACTGCGATAATTAATGCACACGTGGCAATGAGATGCACGAATGCGGGCGAAAAGTAACGATCGAAAATAAATATGTGCATTGCATTTTTAATGTATGTAACGATTTCGAAATATCCACCTGTATTACGTACGTAAAGTCGTATTTGCTCATCGGCCTCTATCCCGGGGGTAAATATATGTTATATCGATAATTAGATCGGAATTTTTCCGATGGTATATAAACGCGCAGAGAAAGAGAGAGACAGAGAGCGAGCTGAAAACACGAGTCAAAACGATCGCGGCGCGCGGGCAGAGAAAATATGCATCGCTCCGATTCTCAAAGCTGGAAATTGCGATATCCGCGCGTACGCAGAAGCCAAAAGCTAAAAAAGGAAGAAAAAAAAACCAAGGGACGACGAAAGCAAGAGTGAAAAAAAGAAAGGGAGAAAAAGCAGAGAGAGAAGAGGGAGGTGGGGAGGTGCGCGACTGGAAAGATCGAACTACGCGTATAGAAGCCGAAGAGACGTACGCCGCGTTAATGAGTTTTTTGGTACAGAGAGAGACTACGACGTGCCCGAGCAAGTGGAAAAGAAAAGGAACCCGATCGATGCCGCCGTACAACGTATAGTGGTACATTCACGAGGCGCGCGCGTGTACGCGATCGATTCGCCAGTTTTAAATTTAAATAAACGCCGATAAAAGGGACCACCTTTCTTTATGCACTTAGAGGGAGAGAGAGAGAAAGAAATGTGCGAGCTCACTTCCAATGTCCTCCCTTTGCTCCTTTTTCTTTTTTTTTTTTTTTTTTTTATATAAGTCACAGATTGACAGACACGACTACGACGACGACGGCGACAACGATTCCTCCTTTTCTCCCCGTTATTTTTTTTTCTGCCTTCTTCTTCTTCAACATCTGCGCGAGCTGCTGTCTGTCCCGCTCGAGCTCTATTATTGTACGAGTAGTTTCGAGATTGAGACTGCTGCTGCTCGTCGTCGTCGTCGTCGCGGCATTGTAATAGATCTCGCGATTGAAAGGGAAAGATCCTCATTTGAAAATGAGAAAAAACAAATTGAATTTTTCTCGCTTTCGAGCTTGGCGCGTTTGGAATATATATTCATTTGCACATACACACACACACACACATACATTTGCTCACGGTACACAAAGACGATCGCAGTATATCGAATAAATTAGAATCAAGTACTGCGTGCCATGTATATACACTCGAGACGGACTGCCGACTCTTAGCTGCAAATATAAATAATCGGAGCTGCGCCGTGGACGAAAAATTGTGGACTCTAGACGATCGCAGCCGCGCGCGTTTACATAATATTCTCCGGAGGGCAGCAGCAGCAGCTGAGTAAGATAATTTTTTTTCTGTTTTCCCCCCGCGCGCGCGCGCCTACCTTGTATATAAGGCTCGGCTAGCTCTGCGACACAGGCTAGTAGTAGCAGTCCTTTGCCCGAGATACGGCACGGATTTTTCATCGTTGCTGATTTTAATAAGAGATTGCCAAGAGCGAGAGCAAAGTTATACGTATACGTATATAGGTATGCAGATACACGAGAGAAAAAAAAAAGGGCTGCGGAAAATGAGTCACTGCTTATACGTGACCCTCCGCTACGGCTCACTAAGCTTTTTGCAGCGGCTGCTGCTCTCGATTTCGAAATCTTCCGCGACTCTGCTGTGCTATCCGCATGGCAGTGAGGCCTGCGACTCTTTTATAACTTTGTCTACTCGTGTTTTACCTCTCTCTCTCTTTGGCGATCTCTTTTTGCTCCTTCTCGGGGCTTGTTTCTTCTTCGTGACTGGCGCGCGCTGGGTGATAGGTCGAGAAATGCATATAAATGTATTTGCGAAAATGTCTAGCGTACTCGAGCTTTATTTGTTTATACTTATATTTATTTTCGTTTAACTTTTCGTTCAAAAGTCGAAATCTCATCGGGTACGTTTGTGCAGTACGAGGCGCATTTTGCAAAATGAATCATTTTCCATTCGCTGTAATACGTAAACACATCGCGCGCGTATACATTATGTTAGCGCAAAATTCATCGAGCGTTACGATAATCGAACGTGAAATCAAAATCTCCACCCGCGGGACGATCGACAATTTATAACACGTGTATAAACCGAAAGAGAGCCGCGCGTAAAACGTTCGCGATGTAAATATTTTTCTGTCGCACACGTTGGTGCATAAAACGCGGGGCGACACACGTGTGCCCCGCACCCGATGCCATGCGCGAGTGAATGTTTTCCTTTTTCCTTTTTTTTTTTTTTTTTTGCATCCACCAAATGCACCAACAGACGGCGCAGCAGCAGGCGTCTAAAAGCTCCAACGCATTATCGGAGGCTTTTAAATCGCGCACCGACGTTTATGTAGCGCGTCAATCGTTTGGGACGGCCGTCGGCTGCTGGGCGCAAGCTCGCACTGTAATCCGGCTGCCTCTCTCGGCGGATTTAATTAATCTCATCCATTCGGCGTCGCGTTAATTAAAAAAAAAAAAGGGAAAAGGAAAACCTTGCCGATTCATTGGCAAAGAGCTTCCTCCTAAAAATATGCTTGTTCCTATTTTTATGTAGTGATGGTCATACGAAAATTTTACGTTAATTATACCTTATTAGTGTTCAATATGTGAATTATAAATATTTAAATATATTGTTATAAGACGCCTAGTTCATTCTTCTTCAAGAGAAAGCAAAGGAAAAAAATGCAACCCTCAATGATATTCGTGAACTAACTATAAAAATACACTTGTTTACATAAAAAGGAGTGTGATATGTCGCAGTCAATCGATGTATGCACGCGATGCATACACACACTGTATTATTCCGTGCAGTCGAATTTAAACATGAATATATTTACGGATTCGATTTTCACTCACACACACACACACACGTATTGTATAGCGGCGCGGTAATCCGCGTGTGCACACTTGACGCGCGCAAGCTCGCTCTTTCTCTCTCTCTATCTCTCTCGTTGCATCGATTCGAAAATTTATCGGTAGCGAATTTTAGAAAATTAAAATTCTATTAATCGCACGGGTTCGTACTTGCCGTTGTACGCGAGCTCGTAATACAAGGGCCAAAATTCACCGCCGAAATTGAATAATTCATCGCTGTACGGACGCATCATGCAGTAACACACGATGTATAATAATAAAAATAACACCGTATATATATATATATGCGTCGATCGGAGCGTATTTGCTCTCTGGCGTCGCGCGGTATAGCTAATATCCGACTGTTACAGTCTATTATTACCGATCGCGTCGCTCGAGCAATGTATATGAACGTAAATGTTTAATGCGCATATATTGAGGGCGGCCCCGGCGGGTGGGTGGGCCGAAGGAACTGCACACAGGTGCCTAACTGCCACGTACGTACTCGTGTATGTGGGCCAACGATGAATCGATTGAATTTCATTGAAATAATTTAACCTGTTGATACTTACGGGTCACATATTTCTCTCTCTCTCTCTCTTCGGGCTCTAACATTACAGCGCAGCTTGCGTCAATGTAATCATCGCTGCAGATTTCACACGCGCGTAGATATAGTACGGATACATAAATATACACCGGATGCGCATAAATCGATGTAAACAATGATTTCGAATTTATCCTCGTAATATTAATGTTAAATAATATGATCGTAATGATTTACAGCGAAAGCTCGGCGCGCTATTAATACTCGCCCTAGCGTCGATGATTGCGTTTTCCTGAATAAATTAACACTCTATGTGCATTCTCGAATGTGGCAGTTTTTGTTGTTGCTCCGATGTATAATGTGTGGATAAAATAAATAATTCATACAAAAATAAGTCCCACTCAATAGGTGTAAAAGGATAGTGTTTCTGCAATTTTAAGATCCTGTAAAGGTTAATTAAAAATTTTGGTCATATTCGCCCGATAAACCTCCTCTTAGAGTCGTAAACCTAATTCAAGTATTTAGAAGTAACTTTTCAGTTGAGGAAAGATTTGGACTAACATAATTTCATATCGAAAAGTGAAAAGTGTAAAAATCATTTTTATTTCGCATTATTTTCAACTTATAGAAAAAAACAGTTGTGTCGTCTTTATCAGTTTCGATCCTTCACCTAGATGGCGTACTTCACACTCACAAGCGATAAATACAGTTCCGATCATTAAATTCCGAATTTTACTTGTGAATACGAATTTATATGTATCGGCTCCAGCTCTTACAGAAACCATAAAGATACAAATGAACATTTAATTTTGACGAATAAGAAATATATCTACACCGCGATCAAAAATGCGTACATTCGAAGACGTTGTCGGCGTCGGTTCACGGCAAGTTGCTCGGTAGCAGCAGCATTAAACGGAGCTCTCGTGACGCTCCCCTCCATTCCTCGCTAAACAAGCTCTTTTACCCTCGCGCACTACAGACGAACAAGTCCGGAGTGCTTGTGGTTTTCGGTACAGAGAGTGTATATAGTCGGAGAGTGGGGGAGAGCTCAGACGGAGAATATTTGCCAAGAAAGCACAGCAGTGGCAGCGCAGCAAGGGATCATCAAAGCCGCCTCAAATGTACAGCTATTTTATGAATGTGCGTGTCTGTGTCAGTGAGATGTTATACCCTCGACGCGCGGCTCGACGTCGTGTTTACCCAAGAATACGTTAAAAGTCGTCGAGTGGCCCTGTCCTATACGTACATCTACATATCGTCGGCGTGTATCGGATACGCGTGTTTGTACAGTATATATATAGTATAATGTACTCACAGTCGACGGACACCTTGATCTGCTTGCTGACCGACGGAGGCACATTGTTGCTGGCTATGCACAGATAATTGCCCATGTCCAGCCTGGAGATGCGGCTTATTTCCAGGGTGTTGCCCAGCCACTCGGTCACTGTGTGGTGCGATGAAAAAAAAAAAGCACAACGGAAAAAGTTATTTTACGAATTGTAATTATACGCTATTGCCGAGTAGCAGAAAAATTTTGTCGTATATAGCTCACCGGACAGGGTTTTGTTGATGTTGATTTTGTTGTTGTCGTCGCGCTTCCAGCGGATGCTCGGCGTCGGGCTGCCGCTCGCGTTGCACGACAGCGACACGTTCGCGCCCTCGCGCACTATGACGTCGGACGAGCTCTGCGAGTCGTCGATGTTCGGCGGCACTGCAACACGGAAAAAGCGATGAGTTTAATTATTATCATAATATATAGTACCGCATTACGCGACTCGGGGTCGTTTCATTTTTACGTTGTTTGTTATGAATAAACCAAAAAAAAAAACATCATACTACGTTAGTTACCTTTTCATTATTACATATTACACGTACGCAGGTAACAGCGAATATCGTCTTTTGCGCATGAAAAGTATATACACGTGCGAGAGTTATTGTCGAGGGTAATGGGAAAAAGTGCGAAAAAAATAAAGGAGGTTCGAACAAATGGAATTCCGCTGGGACCTGCCGCAGAGAGCGAGAGCTGCTGCTGCTGCCGGAATATACGTGTAATGCGTGTGTACTCGTGTAGATGTGCGTGAACGAGTAAAATAGAGGAAAAGGGAGGGAAGTGGGGAAAAAAAAGGAGAAGAATAAAGTCGGAACAAAGCTGAGTGTGTACTCGTTCAGGCGCAGAGTGAACACACGCAAAAATATAGTACATTAATATACCTCCTGTACACGTGCGTGGTGGTAAAATAACAGCAAAAAAAAAGAGAGAAAATAGTACGTACATGTCATTACGTAATATGGACTCGTTTCGTACTCTACGTAGGGTTGAATGGAAACTGCGATGGAATTTCACGCGCCACGGAGCTTGCGATTACTCGACGAGCGAGTGAAAAGTTGGCCGTGTACGCGTCTCCGCGCGCTTCGATTGGGCTATAATAAATCGCTTCGAGTTATCGAAGCTCTGATGTATAAAATATAAAATAGAAAACAAAAATGAAAGAAGCTCGATCGCGTCAACGCGGCCAGAAACTAAGTCGCGCGCGCCTTGGTATAATCGAACTTATTCACGATTCAGTTTGACTCGAGAGAGTCAATGATAAACTGATTATAACATATTGCGTGTGTGTCTGGCGCTCTAACACGTATTATTATACATCTATCTCGGTAAATCAATTTACAGCGGCAGCAGTGGCAGCACACAGCCTCCTGTGTATGTGTTTGCATTGCGGTCGGTCGAGCTTCGAATTCGATTATGCATTAACCCTCTCCTCCCCTCCCCCCGCGCCGCCCGGAAAAGCCTCGGAGTTTATTGTCTCGGGCTTTGAGGTCGAAATCAATGGCCATCGCAACTGGCCATATAATCGAATTGATGGGCTTGGGTATTATGTATATATAGGCGCTATATATATTATATATACCTATAGTATTCCTATATAATAAATATATATCTGTGTGTGTATGTGTGTGCGAGTGAGGCAAAGAGAGAGTTTGTCACCAGAGGAGAGATTTAATGAAAGAGATGGACGCATGGCCGTTATATATATATAGAGAAGCGGTACGCGAGCTTGCAAAGAGAGCCCCGCATTAAAGAGAAAATCAGCGCGCTGACAGGTGTCCGTTTGGCCACTACGTAAATACGTATATATATAGAGTAGAGGCTCGCGCGCGCACACCTTTATATACGAAACACGTCTATCTCGCTCGCGCATTTAACAAAAAAACAAAAATACAAAAAATAAGAGAGGTTTCTGACTCCTCGGACCAAAATAAAAATTAGTCGTCCGCAGCTCGCCTCCCGTCGTCGTCATCGTCGCGTCGTCCGTGTGGACATTGACACACACACACACACACACGCTACTCATGCAGCGTCAGGATGGACGTTTATTTGCGCACCGCGCGACGTTGAAAGACCCGTTGGGCTCACGCGTGTGTTTTTTTCTCTCTCTCTCTCTCTCTCTATTTTTTTTTTCGTCGTCGTCGTGTGTATTCCGAAAACTGGACGAATGCATCAACGCGAGCGAGCTTGCGAGCTTGCGCGCGCGTCTGTGTGCTGCTGCTGGATGAACTCGTGGCGCGCGAGCGCGAGATGAGACAATTTTTTTCATTTCAAAAATCCTGCGACTAGCTTTTGTGCGCCGCACCTTTTCCATCCCCCTTTTTCGTAGCTCGATTTTTCGCGCGCGCGCGTCCTGAATTTTTTGGCACTGCCTGGGATTTCATCACCCAGCCGTCCCTCTTTCACCTTTTTTTGAAGGCGAGCTGACGTGTGTATGTGTACGCGCGCGCGAATCCACTCACCGGAATAATAATATAATCGCAAGTAGAGATAATAAAGGTAATTATCATTGAAAGAACGTTTTTTACTCGATCATCGATCGTCGCTCACATACATACATTTAAACTCGCGCTCGGCAGTCGTCATAAAGCACGATAAGTACATGCGAGTGCCTCGCTAATGACGCAGCGTTTAAGTCCTCGACGGCTCTTTGAGAGTATAAAATATATATGTAACTTAAAGGACGCGTATATATATACGTACGCCTTTTGCCGGCGTACATATAACCGGCAGCACTCCTTCGTCGTTTTCCACGTATAATACGATAAGGAAAAAGTATAAGACTAGTGCGCCAGCGTCATATTCTCTTTTCTCCGTGTATAAACGTGGATGTGTGTGTGTGCTTGCGAGAGAGAGAGACTAATGTAGCTCGTCGAGTGAGAGCCATAGCAAAGACTGCTATACTTCGCTAGCAAGCACAGCACGCCGCCTTTGCCCCGCGTCCTATATATGTATGTATGTAAGAGGGCGAGGCGCGCGCGAGCTTCGCAACCGATGGATTTTGAGTAAGTATATTATATTACGGCTTCTCTCTCGCTCACTCGCTAGCTCTCTCACTTTACGTATGTATACGTCTGTGTAATATTCTACTTTATTACGACTGCCGAGCCACTACGGCAAGCGAGCTCACAGAAAGAGCGAGTGAGAGAGAGAAGAAACGCACACATAAAAGTTATACGTTCTTGAGAGCTTGCAAGGACTAAGGTAAAGGAGAGAGAAAAAAAAAGCTCGATCGTTCGGGTGAATGTGTGTGTATGTGTGTGTGTGTGTGTGCAAGCTCAGTTAATAAATCGATATTAAATTCTTTGTGGTGAAATTTATCAAAAGCGAAGAGTAAAAAAAAGAATGAAAAAAAAGGGAAGCCTTCGCTTATAAAGTAGCATAATGTGGACGTGCGTGCTCTATGCTAAACGAAATAGCCAGCCGCAACAAAGCGACTCTCTCTCTCTCTCTCTCTCTCTCTCTCTCCTTCGAAGACGACGCATTAATGTTAATATGAATGCGCCGCCGGATCGCATAATACACGTCGAGCTCGGGTCGCGCGACACACGTGTCGATCGTACACGCGTATGTGTGTATGTGTGTGCATAAGATCGTGTACATAGGATGTATATATGCAGCAGCGCCGATGGTGGTGCACGGCTGTTGTCGTTTCGATGCATTATTCAGGCGTGTAACGAGTGTCGCGCAGCTCCGCGTTGCGTTGTTATGCAATAGGAAGTGTTCTGTGTTGCGTTGTATCGTGTTATGTGTACAGTAGCACACACGGTGACTCGCGAGCGCGTCTCGTTCGGAATAATACCCGCCCCGCACAGCCCGCTAACGCGAGAGAGAGGATAGGGAAAGCATGCAAAACACCCAAAACCTCGACTCGAAACCGTATACAACGCCACGAGTGTATGCACGATGTTTTCGAAGGAATCATTTATCCCTCGGCTCGATCCGTATCTATCTCTCGCTGGCTTGTTTTTTTCCTCCTTTCGTTCTTTTTTGTGCAAAAAAAAAGAAAAAAATAGATTCGTTCGTCGGTATCGCGAACGAATACATGTATGATTGATGCGAGCGAGCGAGAGAGAGAGGAAGAGAGAAGTTGACTCGTATACACGCGGATATCATTGCATATTCATGAAAATATAGTTGCCGGCGTAGGATTTTACGATGTGTTTCGAGAGCACACGCGTTGCAGTACTTGCAGTTCGGCTAACTGTATGTGCATTTCAATGGCATGATACGTACGTATGTGATTTGTACGTGCGTGTATATGTATGCGTGAGAGAAACTACACAGACACGCGTAACAATTTCACAGCTGCTAATTATCATCGGCAAGTTCAAAGATCGATCGAAAAGTCACTCGAATGAAATAATCCGTGATTCCGGTAAAATTCATCGTCGTTCGATCGGCTTCGATTTCGGACAATACAGCGCGGCCAGACTCAAGAGAGATGGCATAAGCAGCGAACGCGGCTATTCTGTAGATACAACCGAAAAGTGACTGGCTATACTCGACCTTCTCTCTCGCTGTATATCGACGCGTAATCTCTCGATGTATCGCTGGCCATTATACGGCTACATGCAAAATGAAATGCGCAAAAGTAAAAGCTCGCGCAAGCTCGATGTGTATACGCGCGTTCCTTTGCATATACATCTCGCGCAGCAGTTCTCCGCCTCCGAATATATACTTTCCTTTCAATATTCAATGGCAGCTACATTTTGCGCGCGTATACGCGCGGCGAAGGAGAAGAGAGAGCTGATGCGCTCTGACTGACTCTGACAGCGCAGCGCAGCCAGAGAGCCTCGAGTCTTGGCTTATTTTCGCAACACTGTTTGCAGCTGTATACGCGCGCGTGTGTATGGAGTATAGCGCGCCGCGCCCGAGAGATTCTTGCGCTTGACAGTTCATTGGATCTTACTTGAAACGGATGCGCGCCGCCTGGAACTCGTGTCAAGATTCTCTCTGCGCCCCCCCCCCCGCGCTCGATATACACCGTATGCATGCGTATACGCGAGCAGAAGTAGGCGGGGGTGCAAAAAAAAGCGAGAGGGTAGACGTTAGAAAAACTCGTCGCGCGAGAATCCTTCGACGACGCACGTATGTATACATACTTATAATTATGTGTACGGAAATGCACTCGAAAAACTCGTTCCATTTTCGTTTCCTTTATTTTTTGTTCCTCTCTCTCTCTTAATCCTCTCGAAGAACTTTTTTAGCTCGTTTAGATTTTTTTTTTTTTTGTTATTTTATCATCTTCTTTTTTAACTCGGGCGTACGTGTGTACCGGAGAGTCGATTTGCCCCGGGTATAAACGCGCGGCGGCGGGCGCGCATGCTCGCGCTGTCATCAGAGATTTTAATGAGCGATTTTTTCCTCCGAGTCTTTGAAGTCGAGGGAAACATCTTAAACTAACCCGGTGCGCGCGCGTGTGTACCGCGTCAACTTTTGCGATGCAATATAAAGTGGGAAAGAGCGAAAAAAAAAACGATTCGGACGGCAAAGAAAGTTTATCTGCGTGGATATACGTTCATGGTATTATAAGTATTGGCTCGTAATGTGAAATCGTGAAGTAAATTGTTAATATTCTCATTTAGTTCGATGTACAGTTACAGGTGCTCTTCGGCTGGAATGTATCGTAACGAGGTTCATCGATAATTCAAGTTTTCATAGCTGCTTATGAGCTTTTTGATTTTTCCAACAGGTGGAGCATTGTAAACACGCAAGTGTCAAAAGTTCTAGCTAGTATAAATACTGCTCAACTTTCTTCGATTGTAGAAACTGGGTAATGTCATCTTCATTTTGAATGAGACTACCACACTGCTACAAGCCATCTCGTCCAACTCTACGAATTTCTGAAAAATTTCCCTCGTTTACTCGATTATACACGGAAAGTATAAAGTAGAAATAATCGCGAACGTCAATCCGATCGGGAACGATTTCAAAACCCGCATCCTTTGTTTCAGCTTTCTTTTCCGCGCGCGTTAAAGCGCGACCGCAAGCACCAAGTAATCGATTCATTTATTTATTTATCGATGTATAAACGTACTCGGTAGAAAATACCTTTGTAAACTCGGAGCTTTTATATCGGGGACCCCACCCTCAATGATCGGTATCCCATATAATCAACTTGATCTCTCGTGTTCGATATATATATCTACGTAATGTCCGTCCTGCGGGGCACGGCGATCTATTTTATTTCGTTTGGCCGCAAACATTCTCTCTTTATCCGTCAATTCGTTCAAATACTACCGCTAGTAGTAGTAGTAGTAGTAGTAGTAGTAGTAGTAGTAGTAGTAGTAGTAGTAGTAGTAGTAGTAGTAGTCCACAGGACGTTAGTCTCCTTCCCAGTCCAACAAGTTAGATCGGTGTTTTTTACGAACAAATATTTCTCTTTCTACGATTCCTTTTTTCTTCTTTCCTCTGTTGATTTTTTTTTGTTCTTTACATCGTCGTCGCAAGAATTGCTCGCTCGCTCTTTCGTCTGTATACCCGCGCGCTTTGTCGAAGCAATAGAAAATCGGCCGGGCGGGGGGGGGGAGAGAATAAAACGTGAAGAACGAGGGTAGTAGAGCTAAAGACAAACTTTTTCTCATCGCAGCCCCCGTCTTGCGAGTTTTGTTACTTATGTGTATGGGATTTTGCGTGTGTGTGTGTCCGATATGAGAGAACGCACATACCGCTCGCCAATGGGTTACACTGCGTCTCCTGTATAGAGGCTACACAGTGGACGACGAAGACGTCGAAGAAGACGAAGAAGAACAACAACAGCGCGACAAGCAGCGCTTTGTAAATCCTCCACAGACTGGAAAACACAAGACGAGTCCAATGAAAGTGTCTGCGCCCGGCTATATGTACGGCTCCGCACCGAGTAAATACGCGACTTAGTGTACACGCAGCGCTGATCTTCTCTTTCTCTCTCATTCTCTCTCGTTCTTTAAAACTCGCCCAACGTTTGTAAGAGAGAAGGGGCTAAAGCACACCAAATTCTCTCTCTCTCTCTTTTTCTCGCTGTTGAAGGGCTGAAAGAGAGACGCAGTACGGATTGATGCTCCACCAGCGAGAGGGATGAGCTCGAAAAGAGAGAGAGAGAGAGAGAGAGAAAGTACCGGCTCGTTTATAATGAAGAGGAAGAGAGTCTCGAAAACCACCGGCAAGCAAAAATAAACACGTGCTCGTACGGGTCGGTTCGCGATCGACCCAAAGAAATTACTATTGACCCAAGTCGCGCCCGCGAGAAATGTACCTTTCGTTGCTGCTGCCGCGCGTAAAGATGTATAAAAAAAAAACAAAATAAGAAGAAATGATGTACGGTACAGAGTACTTAAGTTTTTGTTTACGAGGTATATAGTACGTACAAAACGTCACACGGGGATAGGGTCATAAAAATCTAATAGATTTGCCGCGGCGTTGAAAACAATGTATAAAACACTCACCCATACAATATACGCACACGTGTATATACGTGTACGCGACATTGAGTTATAGAGCTTGCAACTGTGTATGTACAAGCGAAACTTGCGGCGCGCGCGGCATTATGCTCGCGACTATATTGCCCGGTTTGTATTATACGCGCGCAGCAGCGAGTGTCGGCCGGGCGACACACAGACACTAGTTTTCTCTCACTATACGCAGTCGGCGTGTTATTATGTAGATATATTTCGAGGACGCATACACACGCGTGTATGTGTTTTCAGGCCCTCTGCGAATGCGAGTCAAAATCCCTATCCCATTCACACCCGTACGCCCACGCCCAGCAGCGGCAACTGAATATATATTCTCCGCATTGTCGTGAGAACTACATATTGCCATTTTTATGCCCTCTTGACTCTCTCTCTCTCTCTCTCTCGCTTCGCGTACACGTATATGATACACGCGCGTGTGTGCGTGGGTGTGCTTGCAGTTAGCCAGCCACGAGTAGTCAAGAGGATCGTTTTACATCCGCAGCGCCCATAAAACAGACGTACGTACGCGTGTACGCGAGCCTCGAGTTTTCCTGCGTGGCAATTTTTTATTCTCTTTTTCATATATCAATTTACATTTTCATCATGGCCCGTCGTCGTCGTCGTCGTCGTCGTTGTCGTTCGCGGCCAATCGAAAGTCATACATATATTACGATGTATTTCGATTGATATTGCCTGTAAGGACGAAAGTGCGGCAATAAGTGAATATCTCGCGCGCGGAAACAATTAATTAAGACTTTACTAATGATACGTATAGACGAGCTTTTATTCTCTTCTCGACTTTAGCGGCGCGCGCAGACGTCGTACTTCCACGCTCTGCTCGTTTTCAGCTTCGCGGATGGCCTTTCTCCGGTGCCTCTTTATCTACACTCGAAACGAAAGGGGGAGACAACGGGAGAGATGTCGAAACTCCTCTAGGATATTAATATTCATCCCTCCGCGCCTTTGCCTCTGCGGGTTCACCACTGTGGCTCGACCTATACCACTAATTGAACGATTCTCGCGGTGGTTGGGTCGCGAATCTCAAGCGTGCTATAATAATAAAATTCGTTGAAATTATTTCACGAACAAAAAAACAGGAGAAGAAAAGAGGGAATTAACGTGGAAAAGTGACGAGGTAGAACGATGAAAATATCCGTGGGGTACTATTTATTTATTCAATTTCGTATGTACTCACCGACGACGTGAAGATATCCGTACTGGGTTTTAGCCGTGGCCGTGTTTATCTGACACATGTACCTGCCCTTGTCCTCCTCCTGGACGTTGCTGATATGTAGGTACCAGGTGCGGTGCTTGTCGTGCGACACGGATATTCTCGGATTCCTCGTGATCACGTGATTGTGCACCGTCAGTATGGCCGACTGGTCGAACAGCATCCAGGCTACCTGTCAACGACGCCAACGTATGGATGTATAAGTCGAATGGGGTCAATTTCGTATGAGGTTTATTTTTAATTTTGTTGTTCGAGTGAAAAATTAACATAAATTATTTGACTATCTATATTTCAATTAAAGCGTTTCAATTAAATATAAATGTTACGATTTGCAATAAATGCTAGAAAAAATGAACGGATATTCGATCATAAGTAATATTTAATATTTAATATTTAATATTTATTATTTGAGGCTAAGGACTTAAGTCCAACGTAGCCCAAGGCAACAATACAGTCTCCCGGTTAGCAACGCGAGACACGGGCACGAATATCACACATATCAACAATTATAAACATGAAAAAAACAAAAAAGATAAACAAAAAAAAGAATAAAAAAAAAGAAACCAATAGATTACAAATAGAAGACAACAGGTAAACACCGGTAGACTAGCTGCCACTCTGGAGGTCCAGCAAGTACCTACGAAGGGCGGCACCAAAACCAGGCCGCTGAAACCCTTCCCTAAGTAATTGTAGCTTTTACCGACAGATGGCGAGTATCTTCGACTCTAAATCTGCGAGTGACAAAGTGAAAATAGTTGTATAAGTCCAAGCACTCCAAGACTAAATACCCAGGAATTTCGATAAAATAGTTGTTAGCTACGCGGTGGCCATAGTACCACATAGATCTAAATTTTACAAATTTACCTTCACGTCCAATTATTAAAATTAATATGATCCGTATGTAATTCAAGGACTTTTGCCATTAAATTCGATATGAAGTACAATTTAATTGATCCATGAAACATAATTCAAATGCAATTAAAATCACATTGATTTCGGTGATTTTGCGTGAAACTAAATTCACTTCTGAGAAGGAAAAAACTCTCTTCGCTTCAACATTAATTTCAACGTAAATATTTTTGACGGTGTACGATAAATCGAAACAAAAAACTTTTCGGCTACTTCAAATTTTTCGATTTATCCGTACGTATTTCTCCAAGGACTCGGTGTGTGTGTGTGATTCATCGTCGAGTAGTACACGCGAAACATATTATTACACGTACAAGCCATACGAAAAGTGCAATCGAGCACTGGACCCAGCCTCCGGACGAACCGTACTGCTATACCGAGGGATATCTTCTTCTCGAGCTGCTGCTGCTGCTGCTGTTTCCGGACTCTCTGCCCAGGGTCTCGTGGGATATACATCCCTACCGAATCGAGAGTCCGCGCGCAGCTGCCTTGCCGTATATATATGTGCGAGGGAAAGCGAAGAAACTTACTATACCGCCGCGGCGGGACTCGAATATAATATAACGAAGAATATGGCCAAGGGGTTGAAATGCGCGCCCGTCTAATGTATACAAGACGAGCAATCCCTCCGTAACGAACGATATCTTCTTAAGGAAGAATCGCTGAAAGCCCTTTCCTCGTACTGCTTCGTTTCTCATCTTTTTCTTCTTCTTCCTTTTTTTATCTTTCAATTACGACTTTTGGCCCCATTAGCGAACCGCGATTGAAACCGCGCGCAATCGCGAGAGCTCGATTCAGTCGGAATATCGAGAAACTGCGAGTACCGAAGGTGGAAAAAAGAAAGAAAAGAGATTTCGACGTGGCTTTGCGGGTCGATGATGATGATGATGATAATGAAGGTTTAGCTGTCGAGTGGTACATAATAATTATTTTAGAAACACGCTCACGGTTTGATCCCAATAGGGCACCGGACGAGCATATAAAAGGGATTACATTTTGCGCAGCGAGGTTAGAGAAATACAAGCGAGGCTTTGTCATTCATGGAGCAGTGAACAAATCTGGGGGATTCAACGGAAATATTTAATTCGCGCTTTGAGTTTTCGCTATTTAATGGCGTACAATGCCAAGGAGAAAAGAGCGATAAGCTTCATAATGATTTTATGACATTAGGACTATCGAGTTTTTAAATGTTTTTAGAATGATACACTTATTTTTTTAAATATTTATATTTTATGAAAATTTCATAAACACAATTGTGTAAAATCTTTATGAGACTTATAATTTTTTTCTACTGCAGATAAATTACGACTTGAATTATTTCGTTGCTCCGTGAATGTTATACCGTGTGTCGCACTTACTTGTATACAACAAATTGTGCCCCTGGATGAATGGCATTTTCATTACAGTATATCGGTGTAGTTTCATAATGATACGCGAGGGCCTCTATGTTTCGCAGTAATTTTTTTGCGAACAGCAGATCGACAGTGAAAGGATAAAATATCGTCATCGAGCTATCGCAATCTCAGGATTTCCTGATTAAAATGTAAGTAGTGTGCTCATTAGCTATAGCAAGTATCTAATTTCTGGATAAACAAGTGTTTACAGACGATATCCCTGAAAGAGTCTATAAGTCGATACAATCGAGGGACATAACCTCAAATATTTCCTCAGTGCAAATAGTGAAAATTCATGGTAATCGCATACAATCAAGCGAGTGATGGAAAACATAGAGGACATAGTCAGGTACTCACTGAATTTTTCTTTGACATGCGGTGATATTTTTTAAAGCAATCGCTTCATAAAACTCGATTATTCTCTAGAGTGAAGCAAGAGCCGAATGATTCTTGGGAAGATGCAGGCACCGATTATACTTGCGATTCAGTGGACTCTTGTAAAGTCAAAAACATTGACACATGCAAGTTCTATAAATCATCAGTAAGTTGAATAATTTTATTTATGTTGTGTTTTTGCACTATTAAAATGGTTACGATATTTCAATTTTAGAAAAATCATATAAATGGGGTTATGTCGTTACAAGAAAAATCAGATGAAAAAATATACGCAGATTTTGAGTGCAAAGACGTGAAATCTGAATCGACAGCCATCTGTAAAACTGAGAATCAGATTGGCCTACCTACTATAAAAATAGAAAATGAAAATCGGGTCATTGATATGAATGAAAATATATCTGTTGATTTTGAGTGCAAGAATGTGAAACTTGAAATGAAGTCTTCATCAACAATCATTTTCAAAAATGAGCATCAAAGTCATTCGTCTACTGTGAAAATTGAAAAAACAATTTCAAAAATAGATATGAACACGACACATAAGAGCATAAAACCATATGAATGTAAGATGTATCACAAACTATTTGGATACGAAAAAACCCTCAAAGTTCACAAGAATGCATTACATGATCGTAGCAAACCTTTTGAATGTGAGATTTGTCAGAAACCATTTAGATCAAAATGTAACCTCCAAACTCACGTAAATGTAGTGCATGGTCGAATCAAATCTTTTGAGTGCGACATTTGTCACAAATCATTTGGACTAAAGTGTAATTTCAAAACTCATTTGAATACAGTACATAATCGGAGTAAACCCTTTGAATGTGACATTTGTCATAAATCATTTGGACTAAAACATCACCTGAGTTCTCACATAAATACAATACATAATCATGTCAAACCCTTCGAATGTGAGATTTGTCACAAATCATTCGGCATACAAGGTAATCTCTATAGGCACATAAATTCAGTACATAATCGGAGCAAACCCTTCGAGTGTGAAATTTGTCACAAAACATTTGAACACCAGAATCTACTCAAAAAACACATTATGATAGTACATAATCTCAGCAAACTTAGGAGCACGAGTTTGGTTTGAGACCTATTTGAACTGAATAAAGATTTTTACAATCGAATGTGTAATTTTGACAATCTTTTATTTTAAAGAAAATTTCCTAACTAAATCCGGTCGAGTTTTTGAATTTGTGTGTACGAGGTAAAAGCAATACACTAGAGTGAAGCTCGACTTCATCTTCGTCAATGTGCATGTGCGAAGTTTATTGAAATGTCGGGTTTCATTTACTTATACGAGTGTCGTCTAATGCACTTGACGCAACTATAACTTCCTGTAAATCCAAAAAATTATAATAATTTTATTGAAGATTTATTGATGCATATAAAGCCATCATTCAACGCGGTTCACAGGCAATGATATATCAGCTCGTTGCATGCAATTCAAAAGCCATCATCTTTAATTATGAATTTAAAAAATTGGGTTCAATATACAAATGGCGTCACCACTAAAATCCCAACGACCAATTACAAGTCATTTCTCGGAATGACACAATCAGACTATCAATTTTTTAGGAGAGGTTGAGAGGATCGAATAAAAAATTAAGAAAATAGATGCGTGAAATTGAATACTGTAAACTTCACGCGCAGGAGAAATTCTAAAAAGAAGCGGCGAAAGAAAGAAAAATTGGACTCGCAACGAGTCCCCACGGTCTTGTATACGATCGGTATCTCAAAGCTCGTATCCTACTTTCACTGTGGGTCACGCAAAAATCGATCAAAAAAGCCCGATTTTTTTACGTTATATATATCACGCGAATATCGCACGGCGCCCTGTAGCCCCGATACGACAATTGCGGGATACTTTAACGGACGCTCGTATACGGGCGAACTTTTGTCCGAGTTATATCGGGATGAGTATATCTATATGTCAACGCTCCTACTGCTCGTGCCGTCGTAAACGTATACAAAAATATGACGCCGATTTACAAACCGTAAGAATCGTGTACGTATAGTTGTAAGTGTGTGTGGGCGTGGGTGTGTGTATTTATATTACAGAGTAGAAAACTCAAAACTCCCATCGCGTAATTTACGTTATATTTTTATGACTTACGCGATATAGCATCGTTCGAAACGTAATCCGGATGTACGAGTTAACGTTACACCGCGCATAAAGCTCTACTCACAGGTGTGTATGTGTATACATGATCACCCATGTACACACTAAACGATATTCGCTCATTTCTTTTGCCTTTTTTCGGGAGAGGGGCCAGGGAGAGGGAACCTCGCGCGCGTGCCGAGCTTTTGTCCGCGCGGGATTTTGGGATTTCCGGCTGTGCTTGGACTCTCGCACACATGCAGATATGATAATAATGATAATAATAATAACGATGATAATAATGCGCGGCAGTGCGCCCCCGTACAGTCCGTCTATTATATGCCCTCGGATTAAAGCGTTAAATTT